TGAAGTCGGCGACGTAGAAGTTGATGTGCTTGACGCGGTAGTTCTTGCCGTGTCAAATTGTACTGGTAGGGTGATCTCTCCAAGCAGTTTGGATGCCCTGCCAGGTACCACACCCTAGAAGGAGGAGTCTGAGGGTGTGAGATCTATTATCCCGAGGCCCAACTCCTTTAGGGCTCCGACAAAGAGGAGGTTCAGAGCGCTCCCACCATCGACGAGCACTTTTCTGAAAAGCACTTTCTAGACGGTTGCATTGAGGACGAGGGGGAAACGCCCTATGTAGGGGATGTCTGCCCACTAGTCGGCCCTGTTGAAGGTGATGGGGACCTCGGACCAAGGGCAATAGCTGGGGTTAGCGGTGGCGTCTTTCGTAGTGACGGCGAGCACCCGCTGGGCGGCGAGCTTTCGTTCTCTTCTGCTTTAGGTGGAGGCAAGGCCCTGAATATGGTGGCGACCACCTTGTCATGATCCTGGAAGGCATTGTTGTTGCCCCCAGGTGGTCGGCGGCCTCCGGCTCCGTCGTTGGTGTCGTCGTCCAGCTTTTTGTCTTGGAACTCCTTAGCCAAACCGAGGCAGTCCTTCATTTTATGCCTAGCGTTCTTATGGAGGGGGCACGGGCCATCGAGGATCTTCTTGTATTGCTTGTCATAGTTGCGCTTAGCACAAGGTTCATTAATGGTGGCGATGATGTGGTCTAGCCGGCGGCGGCGATTTTGACTAGACTTCGATCCTTCTGGCCGATCACGGCCGCTGTCCCGATGGTAACTGCGGTCATCGTAGCGGCAGTCGTTGTGGCGTCGGTCGTTGGGGCGGTCATCGTAGCGGCGAGGTGGGCAATGAGTGCCCACATCCTCATTGAAGCGCACCTCGGCTTCCTCGGCATCGGCATACTGGTTGGTGGTCGTGATCATCTCGACAATCCTTGTGGGCGGCTTGCGGTTGAACTTGGAGCGAAGCTCGCAGTGATGGAGTCCTTGGATGAAGGCGGTGATGACCTCAGCTTCCATGATGTTGGGAATAGAATTTCTCATCTCAGAAAAGCATCTGATGTAGCTATGGAGGAGCTCAGATGGCTTTTGGTTGATGCGATTGAGATCATGCTTGGTGCCCGGCCGAGTACACATAGCCATGTAATTGTCGGTGAAGACTTTTTTCAACTCTTCCCAGGATCCAATGGAGTTCGGGACAAGGCTTGTAAACCAGCTCATGGCGGCTGGCATAAGCATGATGGGAAGATAGTTTGCCATGACACTGGTGTCTCCTCCGGCGATGCCGACAGCAGTGGCATAAACCTGTAGCCAATGAGTTGGGTTCATTCTTCCTTCGTAGGGCTCGACCCCAGTGATTTTAAAACCACGGGGCCACTGAAGCGTTCGGAGCGCCCTCGTGAACGCCGGGGGCCCTTCGGGATTGTTGGCGTCATCGTCTGCAATGTTGTCGGCAGCGAGCGGCTCAAGAGCTAAGTCTGGGTTACCGTACTCTTGCTCATACTCCTGGCGATGGCATACTTTTTAGCGACTGAAGCGGCGTTCATCGATACGTCGTCGTGCATCCCAGAGGTTGTTGAGGTGCACTCGGAGTGTCTAGAGCCGATTCGGCAATGGAGAGGCAATCGGTGAGCTTGTAACCAACCTGATCGATTGATGCAATCAGATCATCGTTATTGATCTGCCTCCTCTGGTAGCGAGGAAGAGGTTGGCGAGTTGTTGATGAAGGTGACCTCGGAGGTGGTTCCGAGATCGGATCTGCAGTCGTAGGTGCGGGGGTGATTGGCGCAGAATCAATCTGCACCGGCTCGAGGAGCTCTTCGACTTCGTCAGCGTTGATGATCCACGAGATCTATCAGATCGTGAAGATCTAGCCGGGCTGTGGGAGGGACGAAGAGCCTGTGGAAAAAGCCATCTTGTTCAATAAGAAAACAGCACACACACCCCTACCTAGCGTGCCAACTGTCGATAGAATATCGTCGGCAGTCCTCCGAGGGGTATCCCACGGAGGTAGATTGATCGGTAGAGAAGCGTGTGATAAAAAACAAGAAGGCAATAGAGACACACGAGTTAGACAGGTTCAAGTCGTCAGTATGACGTAACACCCTACTCCTGTGGTCTGTTGGTTTGTATTAGCTATCGTATGATATTGCATGAGTTTGGAGGGGGTCCCCGCCCGCCTTATATAGTCCGGGGGGGCAGGGTTGCAGGTTGGTTAGATATGAGAGATAACCGGAAAGTAATAACAGATTACAGGAATCATGGGATCATACGTATCCTAACAGATCTCGTAGAATCTTCAGGATATCTTCTCAATGTCTTGCGGGAGACGCCGAGCAGAGTCGTGCCCCGTAAGGCTTCATCTTGTGGGCTGGGCTGCCCCTAGGCGTAGCCCATGTGGTCTGTCGTGGGTATCCGGGGTTGTACCCCCCACAGCTAGGAACCTACATTATTGCATGTAGATCAGTGTCGGTTTTTAAGAACCGACAGTGATGTCAACCCCCCATCACTGCCGGTATGCCACTATCGGTTCAAAATCCAGCAGTGAAGGGGTTTTTTGAACCGACAGTGATGTCCAGATCTGGGGTAGTGCCCCTAGCCAGGCTCTCAGCTTTTGGAGTTTGGAGGTTTGGGATGATGGATCTTGGTGCATCTAAGTCATGGAGGTTGAAGGCAGAGTTAGATTGGAGGCGTGCTAGGGTGGCGGCAGACTTGGATTAATTGGAGGTGCTAGTCATGGGGTTTGTGGTGGACCTGGATTGAATTTGAGGACCTATACCTGGGCAAGAAATTAGACTGCAAATGAGCTCCTTCAACGAAAGACACGTGTGTAGCGGGTTCCACTACATGGTAAAATTGGAGAAACGAGAATATGAAAACGAGCAACGGTGCCCAATGCGGAGTCAGTCGTTTCCTTGAGCTACAATAGATGGGACGACACAGTTTCTCCATGAAGAAACGACTTATTCATTTCTCCATTTCTCTCCCCAATAAATCTCATGCCATATCAGTTAAATGTCTACAAGGCAGAGTATTAAGACACGTAGACACCATCCTAGGTGGACCATTGGTGGTGCCCTAAGACATAATTGACTAGAGATCTAATGAGGATTGATTAAAAGTTATCAGACTTTTCTACCAAACATTTATCTTAAAGGTGTGTTAGGTTTGACGATGAGATTGAGTGGGAGATGGTGGTTCAAGTTTTTATAGTATATTTCGTTTGGGGGAAGGGTCGATGGAGTTGCCCATGTCAAGGGAATATTTGACTAGGTGCTAGATGAGCTTGTCCAGTGAAGAGTGGCCAGACGAAGCCATTCATCTTTGCTAACCTTGATCACCTTATCCTGAAAACCATGGTTTAATCCCATCTCATCCAATTTCATCTTCAAACCAAACCCACACTTTGTACCAACTGCGACAAGATCTAGCATATCTTATGAATAAATTAAGGCACTCCTTTATGTTTCTCTAGTTGTTTCTCTAGTTTAAAGAACTAGAGAACTATATATACAGTGCCTTCAACACAAGACTAGGTCTTGTAACAATTGACGTCTGCTTAGGCTTTTGCATTCCAAAACTTGGCTTTTGTGGGATGTTGAAAATCGGTTTGGTGGATTGATTGGCTTACATGTTGTGATATACCTCAAAACAGTATGCCACATAAGACTTCTTTTGCCTCCTACTCCTGCAACTACAGCTTTCGACTTTCGTAAGTCACTTCTAAAAACAGAAGGTTAGAGAAAGCTTTTGGCTTTTGTTCATAAGCCAAATTAAAGAAAAGTTAAAACGACTGCCAAAAGAATGCTTGGCATTAAGGATGAAAACGGTCGTCGAAAAACTCCTCAACCGTTTTCTACTTTTACATTTGAAATACGAAAACGAAAGCGAAAGCGGACAAGCTGGACACGAAAACGAACACGAACTTACGGAATATCTAGAATTTCGGAAACGAACCAATTCGAGCGGAATTATGTCGAACACGGTCGGTATGCGAAAATTCAATACGAAATACCGACCCACAGTGCATAGCATTAAACAAGTGCACGACCAAATGCATAACAAGTTCACAACTAACAAGTGCATGATCTAGTTCAAGTGCATAGCATTAAACAAGTGCACGACCAAATACATAATAAGAGAGACGAGGCTGGATGCTGTCTATAAGAGAGGGCAGCTAGCCACCAGTAGAAAGAACGCAACTGCATGGTGAGCAGCCTGTAATTGGGCTGTATGACCTGTGCAGTTGGCCAAATTCAGTTTAAACCTAATTTTGAATTCGGAATATTTCAAATTAAAAGTAGAAAAGTAGAAAACAGTCGAAAAATGTGTAAACCATTTTCTACTTTTACATTTAAAATACGAAACATCTCAAATGCGAAAGCGGAAACGGTAAAGTCGGACAAAAAATACGGATTCGATCGGATTAAATATAGAAAACGATGCGGTTCGGTTCGGGATATTTTCGTAGCTAAATTAGTTACAGTCGTTATGTTATGCCTGTGCTTACACGATACGATTCTCATCCACACATCTACGAGAGGTCCCTCAACACCTACACACACAAAAAAAAAAAAAGTAGTCAGCAACTGGTTCATGCAGATTAAAATGATACTCTATTCACCAAAAGTCATTTCTAATTAGTAGTATATATATAAATATTAGGCAAAAGAGCTGGTTTTCGTGGTCATGGCAAGCTGTCTTTCCTCAAGATGAAACTAGGTTCTGTGACAGTGACTTGTGATAAACAAACTTGACCAGTAAAAAGGAAGCAGGTACATCGATCCTGTTTGTTGTGTCTCTGTATATTATATTTATGTCAGCAGGCAATTAAAACTTGGCCCACAATTTTTTAGTTTATGAACGGCGCCCACACCATACGGCAGCACACTTGCATGGGGTGTATATAAGACGGCCAAGGGGGTGGCAAGAGGAGGACACCGCTCCACTCTGCTAATAAGCAACAACGTTGAGAGAGTTCAGAGTTGACACACAACTAACTGTAGGCAGATAGGCATGGAGATTGAGAGGGAAGCTCCGGGTAACGACAAGGCGAGGAGCTGGAGAGCTAATGTAGCGCAGGAAGACTCTAAGAGCAAGCTTGACGGCGGTGATCAGCCGATGAAGGTTACTTGATTGTCTAGCTATTTCGTCTTTTGCTGTGAGATTTCCGTGGACAAGACTGTAGCCAAAACAGTGTATGATGAGAAGAGAAGATGATGCTCATTTCATCTGTTTCAAACTCTTCCCTTTGGTTGTCTTCTGATTCAGGAGCCTGCATGGAAAAGGTTCCTGGCTCATGTTGGACCAGGGTTTATGGTGTCATTGGCATACTTGGATCCTGGGAACTGTTAGTACCCCTCTCTCCCTCCCTCGCCCCTGGCTCCCTCTCTTTTCTCTTCTCTCTTGTCTCTCTTTCCTCACAATCTTTTCCCAAACTGAAACAGTGGAAACGGATCTGCAAGCTGGAGCGAATCACCGATACGAGGTACATTTTCAATGCGTTCCAAAAGCACACAAGATTTTGTTGCTTACGTTTATGATTCTGCACTTTTTCGTTTTGCCCCCATGACCCATGTACTCTAGCTATCAAATCTTCAAGACTTTTATTCCAAAAGATCTCCGATCCCAAAAAAGCAGAACCAAGCTGACTTTTCAGGGCAAGAACCTAACTGAATGTTTGCCTTATTTTTTTGCAATTTGCTTGGTGTCCATCTTTTGCAGCTCCTCTGGGTGATTCTCATTGGTCTCATCTTCGCACTCATCATTCAATCACTAGCAGCTAATCTTGGAGTGGTGACAGGTAATTCAGTAACATAACTTGAAGGAAACGACACCGTGCCGTCTACGGATTAAAAAATATTACCAATTGGCACTAATGTCCAGTATTCACTTCACTGTAACGCAGGAGGCATCTTGCTGAGATATGCAAGAGTGAGTATCCAAAATTTGTGAGGATCTGCCTATGGATCCTCGCCGAGGTGGCTGTGATCGCTGCAGATATCCCTGAAGGTTAGAAGCAACATGACAAACCGGAAACATAATTAACATTTCTGGTGAAATTAAAGGGCATATTTTGACCTGGTGGTTGTAAGTTAGTTTGATTTAGTTAAGCTGAATGACAAGGAGAGAATGGTTTCATCAAAAAAACGAGAGAATGAACATTAGGTACTTGTTCTATTTATTGTTAATAAAAACTGAAAGGTATACCGAAAGTCTTTAATTTGGCTCTAATATATTTGCTAAAGTCAAGACCGTGTTAGGATACATTGGTACGTATGAATTGTAGTAGCATACAAAATGTGTAATTAATCTTACATTATATTGACTTACATGTTGGATTGTCTTATCATGTGGAGGAATTTGCAAGGACCTAGTAAAGAATATATACTCTAATCTATCGCTTTGTCTGATACTGACATTTTGCTCATACATTTTTGTTGCAGTTATAGGGACAGCCTTCGCTTTCAACCTCTTATTCCACATCCCCGTGTGGGTGGGGGTTCTCATCACCGGCTCCAGCACTCTCCTGCTCCTGGGCCTACAAAGATACGGGGTATTTAATTGCCGTCCACTTATTTTTTTTAGAAAAAAACATGTATGTCTAAAATGTGTTATCTATAGTAATTAGGTAGCCCTAGAGTAATATAGTTGGCTAGCTGGTTGCTTAATGCGTGTGTTGTTTCTTCTTGCTTGAATGGATCGGAGCTAGGTGCGGAAGCTGGAGTTCCTGATCTCGATGCTGGTGTTCGTCATGGCGGCGTGCTTCTTCGGGGAGCTGAGCATCGTGAAGCCGCCGGCGGTGGAGGTGATCAAGGGGCTCTTCATCCCCAGGCTCAAGGGCGACGGCGCCACCGCAGACGCCATCGCCCTCCTTGGAGCTCTTGTCATGCCGTAAGCAATCCAGCATTATATTCTAGCATTCAGGCTTAATCGAGTAACTAATTCTGATTATTATTATATATCGGCCATGGCTGGCAGTGCTGCCAGGTCAATGGATTAAGAAAAAGGGAAACTGCGTCAGAGCTCCACATGCATGTATATCACTATCAGTAGCAGTAGCAGTTGCGAAGAACTTTGTTTTGTTATTTCTATATAACTTGCTAGCTCTGACGATGTGGACTAGAACAAATTAAAGATTAAAGTAGGCACTGTTGTCGATCATATATATCGTTTCAGCAAGTCAAATTAGTAAACTTAATTTGGCCTGGATGAGATGATCATCAATTAATTTGTGCAGGCACAACCTGTTCCTGCACTCCGCTCTGGTGCTGTCTCGGAAGACGCCGTCGTCGGTGAGAGGGATCAAGGACGCGTGCCGGTTCTTCCTCTACGAGAGCAGCTTCGCGCTGCTCGTGGCGCTGCTCATCAACATCGCCGTCATCTCCGTCTCCGGGACCGTCTGCTTCTCCGGCAACCTCTCGGCGGAGGACGCCGTCAAGTGCAGCGACCTCTCGCTCGACTCCTCCTCATTTCTACTCAAGGCAGGCAGTTGCCATTTCATTACACATCACAATCAAATAGGAGTAGTATATATGCTACGTAGTTCTGTTGGGATTAACCATGCATTCATTGAATTTGTTTCTTTTTTATTTGTTTTGTACTTTTGTGTGCATCAGAACGTGCTGGGCAGGTCGAGTGCGATCGTCTACGGCGTGGCGCTGTTGGCGTCTGGGCAGAGCTCCACCATAACAGGCACCTATTCCGGCCAGTACATCATGCAGGTATCTACTTAGTATATATTAGTTGCTTTCAACTTGCTGTTTGACTTGTTGGCATGCATGTCTAAAAAACTGAAGATAGATCACTAGTTTATTTGTTTGGCAGCATGAATTCTCAGGATCATGCATATATATGAAATTATACTATGTCAAATATATATGTCACTGCTTCTCAGGTTCACACACTCTAATAAGTGACAGTCCAAATTTGCATGCTGTAATTTATCTAGAGTAACGACGGCGGCGGCAGTCTATTCTGAATTCTGATGTAAGAAAATTAAACAAGCCAATAAGCAGATGTAGTCCCTTTATTTGCCCTTTTGTCAGACAAACCAAACTAACTCTCACATTCTTTACGCTTTTCAAACACCCAAGTCAACTATGCTAGCTAATCCTAGTAGGATTTCACTGGAAGCTTTAATAAAATGTTTGCCTTGTTGCTTTCCTGTTACGCACAGGGTTTTCTGGACATCAGGATGAAGAAGTGGCTGAGGAACCTGATGACACGCTGCATCGCCATTGTGCCGAGCCTAGTCGTCTCCATCATCTGTGGCTCCAGTGGCGCCGGCCGTCTCATCATCATCGCTTCGGTGCGTCATACCCCACCTCGCTCACACATCGCCAGTACCCTGTACACCTATACCAATATCAACTAGCTTACCATATATATGCACATGCTCAATTTTAGCTAGCTGTGGGTTAAAAGGCAGCCTTTTATGGATCACCTAACCAAAGGGCATTAACCTCATGTACTACTGCCTATATATATACTTCTATGATCTAAAAGTGCACACTAATTTATACTCCCTTCTGGACCTTCTATATACTACTAGTATATAGTAAATAAAGAAAGGGAACCATGCATATCAAGTAGCTTAGCATGCACATGGTCTATTTTAGCTGTGGACTAAAAGGCAGCCTTTTTATCGATCACCTAACAAAATGGCGGCACGATAATTTATACTCCCTTCTGGACCTTTTATATACGAGTAGTACATAAAGCATAAAGCAAGGTAACCAAGGATCGGTAATTTTGGCTTGTACGCAAGTAATTTCCGGTGTATGCAGATGATCCTGTCCTTTGAGCTGCCGTTCGCCCTCATCCCACTCCTCAAGTTCAGCAGCAGCAGCAGCAAGATGGGACCCCACAAGAACTCCATCTATGTAAGCACTCACTCACTCACTCCATCAAAGAAAACTACGTGTCCGTCCTTGTTGTTTGCTCGCTCCGATCCATCAATTGCGTGCATTGCTTGTCTGCACTTTTTGTAGCCTTTTGAGATGCCCGACACATTACCATGCAAGGCCTTGCACAAAATAATGCATCTTCTCCCGATCAGCGCATATCCTTGCATGCATCCCATGTGTTCTGCTTCATCAATAATAATATACGGGCTCATCATCACATGCCTGCATCCAGGCTGACTGGCTGGCTGAACAAAACAAACTGGCTGCATGAACCAGATCTAGCAAATATATATATATGCAAATATAATATCTACTACTATATATTCATTTAATTTATTTAATTTGCAGATTATCGTGTTCTCGTGGTTGCTGGGGCTGATGATCATCGGCATCAACATGTACTTCCTGAGCACCAGCTTGGTCGGGTGGCTCATCCACAACTCCCTCCCCAAGTACGCCAACGTGCTCGTCGGCCTCGTCGTCTTCCCCCTCATGCTCATCTACGTCATCGCCGTCATCTACCTCACCTTCAGAAAGGACACCGTCGTCACCTTCGTCGCCGACTCCACCCAGCTGGTTGACGCCGAGAAGGCCAAGGTGGCCGGTGAGGAGGAGGACGACCAACCCGTGCCGTTCCGGCAGGACCTGGCGGACATCCCACTGCCGGAGTAGAGCTAGCTACAAAGACTCTTTGTGACCTTTAAGTATATATATATAATTATATATCCAGTTGTGCTTCATCTTTGGACGATTCTGATTGCTTGTAGATTGCTGGTGGGTACAGCTAACATTTTGCAATCGGATGCATGTACGGTCCTCGGATCAGTTTTTATGTATTTATAGTTTCATGAAGGGTACGGCTTAGATGTTAAGAGTGAGTGGTATATCGCTGAATGTAAATTGTTAATGGGTAAATTCCTTTCCAGTAATTTAAATTTTACAGTTAATCTTGGTGGCAACCTTTTTCTCACACGTCACAGTCACGATGGTGTCCAAGCACTCAAACGGTGTTTGCTTCACGCACTGGTTGTCTGGTTACGTACGTGAACACGGTTTGGGAAAATGATTGTAGGGAAGTACGTAGCAGTGGAATTAGTAAACAGATGTATAATGCTGCTGTTGGCAGTGGCGTGACCGCGCACCCTTGTGTTCATTTGCTTGACGTACGTGGAATAAAATGTGTAGTCCCTCAGTCCTAAAAGATGCAATTCTCACTTTCACAATGTTGTCCTCGTCTGAAGTCTTAGATGGTTGGTTGCCGAACAAACAATAGCGAAGGGATGAGCTAATAAGGACAATGGATCTCTGGTGGGGTTGGGGGTTCGGGGAGCAAACGAATAAGCTAAGCTTCCTCCTTTTATTTAGAGGCACTATTTTTTACAATTGATGGACCGTAATGGCTCCATATTAACCTTAGATTTCAAGAATATTCATATCCTCTCAGGGGCATCACATGGTCCATTCTGCTACATACTAGTCAAAGTCAGATTTGACTGCCGGGAAGTGCTCCCCCGCCGGCTACATACTTTGTCATGCTAGGTTTAGCATGCAAATACTTTGTTGATATGCTATTCAACATCACCAAATGGTCGACTTCAAGTTAGGTTTGAATGATGATCAACACAAAAGGGGAGGTTCTTAACTCTGTTTTAGGTTCTGTTTGAGGAACCGGGTAATCTGGTTTCTGAAAATGTCTATTTGCCCCAAACCCACACACACCCCTTCTAAACATCTAGATCCTTTCACTAAGGACTGCCAATATAGTGCACATGATAATTACTCAGCATATTAGGAACATAAATTCACTAAGTTGGCTTTGACTACATATTTTCTTAGGAACAAGGATAGAAGCATAACCTCTATTCTTCTCTGGATAGGGAGTCAAACATCATTTTTTATCTGTTTTATTTGAAACTAGGTGCGAAGTTCTCACACTATAAATGAGTTCTCACAACATAAGTGGGAACACATACAAACCCTAACCGACCATTTGTAACAATGGTGTCTCCTTGTTGCACAAGCCCACACCGCCACCCCTTATAATCATCATCCATAACCATGCATGTGTGGCCCCTTTTCCTCATAGTGCTCATCCCTGTTTGCACGTGCACCGTCTTCCCTCCTCCTTATTGATGACCCTAGGCCATCCCTCCTCTTTGTCATAAATCCCTTCCTCGACCGCATGTCATTGCCTCCTCTTCAATCCCTTCCCACAACCATGTGTGTACCATTGTCCATCATCTGTTTCCCTGACTCCAACCACGAGCATTGCAAGCCCTTGTCCTTATCATCGATCCTCTACTAGGTATCATTGTTGTTGTCCCCACTGTCGATCAAAGCACATGCTACCATCCCTTGTCTTTGTTGTCCCCTTCCCCAACTCAATGCCACAACCCTTCATCCTTATCACCAACCCACCCTAACCTAGAGTCCTCCCCACGGTGATGAAGTTTCCCACTTTGTCCTCCCTAGATGAATGGATGAATGCTTGGATAGATTAGGGTTTAGATAATGCATGGGCGAATGAAATGTACTTAGAAACTTGTTGTTTTTTTAGATATATATATATTTCTTAATGTAAAGTCCCAATGTGTTTAAGGGTATTACTTTGCTTATATATATATTTTTTAGAATTTTTTAGTTGCAATAATATCCAAGTGTAACACCCAAAATTCCAGATAAATGTAATTAGCTTTGTTTGGGTGTTCTAAATTTGTTAGGAAAAATATGTTTTTCTTAAATTAAAAATGAATCATAATATAAGGATACAAACATGTTTGTTGCATTAGTTTTTGATTGATTTTTTGTGGGACAGATGGTTTCTAAGTCGCTTGAAGTTGAATTAGTTTACGAGCCACAGAAAATAAGGAAAAAAAAACTTTTTTTCTTTTCCCCTTCCCCTCTATTATTATTGGCCAATTTTCTATTTCGGACCGCGTCGGCCCACAGCCCCATTCATTATGCATACCACCCTTCATCGCCACCAACCCACCCTCGTCAGGCCTCGTTCGACTGCAGGATGCCAATAGAGAGGGGATGGGATTCTTCTAGATGAAGCTAGGTGTACATTATTCTTTGAATGACTTTGAAACTTAGCTTGAAACGTATTTAAACTGACATTAGGGCTATAGATGTTTCACTTCATTCAACTGCATCCAATCCATGTGCATCGCAATTAATCATTGTGGCCAGCCTATGAACAATAAAATGACATTATGCATCTGTGGGATTATTGTTTTCCTTCATCAACTCAAAGCACTTTTCTTTTTTTTTTTGGCACAAACTCAAAGCACTCTAGATCGATGACCTAACACTGGAAAGGGCAAAATGAAAACTTCAATTGGGTTCGTGTAATAGTTGCTGAACATTAGTGGACATGCCAAATAACATTAATCTGAATAATGGTGGGCATCATATAGATTAAAATGATAACAGATTTTTTTTCTTCAAAGAAAATGATAAGAAGCTAGCTGCCTACAAATAGATAATTCTCCATTTTATTAAGATGGCGGTCCTTTGTTAAACACTGGCACGGAAATGTGCTTTAATAATTTGGTTCGTCAACGAACTATGTATACCCTGTGTGCATTCATGTGCAGTTTATTCTCTGAAAAAGTAGTTAAACCTATTTGATATGAGAAGTCAGAGTTAACGATGACACCTCATTGGACCAACACACTAGTAGTAGTAGATTATGTGTGCATATAATTGCTTGCTCCAAGAGTCTAGTGCGTGTATATTATTTCCTCCGTCACGCATTGTTTTGATATATATGCACTCGACAGGATGTGCCCTGCAAGAACTGGTAGAGTAAAATATCCCGTACCTGCATTACATGTGCAAATTAAAGCATCTACTTGCATTGTTTCGGTTCTTCAATATGTATGTGGCTATGTGCATATGTTTTCTCTCTCAAATATTTAAAGTTAATTAATCCATAAGGTCAGAGTTAATGGCGACATCTCATTCTATCTACATTAGGTTATTCTTGCACCCATATAATTGCTACTAGTTCTAAGAGTTCATGAGTATGTTATTAATTCTGTCTATGATCACATCATTCTGTGTATATTATCTTGGCTCACATTGTTTTAATATGTAAACTCAACAGGATGTGACCTGAAAGAATCTCTACACTAGTATAGTGGCCAGTTGCTGCATTCACATCTTCTTCCCGGTTATCCTACTGTGCAAATTAAGCTTGACTCTGAAGCATATCTCATCAATGTTTGCAGATTAGTTATATATATGTAGAAGTCAATGTTGATGATCCAACCTTTTGGATCGAGGCAGAGCCGGCCACGTCTCTTTGGGTGAACATCATATTCTCAGCTTAATAGTGGAGATGTGAAATGACACTATTTTTAACCATTGTGGATATTAGGTCAAAATGATAACAAACCTTTGTTTTCAAAGAAAATGGTAACAAAAGAATAACAATTGGTGAAATCTTAAACTTTTTAGCATGAAAAGGACAAACAACTTTTATCAAGCCACCTATAAATACTTAACTCGGTCTCTGTTCTATTGAGATGCAAGTTATTGGTCCTTTGTTAAATATACGAGTTAAATAAATCAAGTCAGCACATAATACAAGTACTAGCATGAAAATATTAATGTATGGATCTACTCAAATAGCATTAATTTAAGTTGCTGGTCGTTTGTTAATGGTAGTATAGATATGTGTTTTGGTTTTCAAGGAATAATTCATGTTTTCCCAGTGTCAGTGTGCATATATTTATTCAGTCAAAAAAATATTGAAAGTTATTTGAATAATATATATGTTGTGAGAAGTCAGATTTAGTGATGACACCGGCCCCTTAATTTCAAGGAATAATTCAGTTTAGTTTATGGATACGACGACAGGATGTGACCTGCAACAGTTGCTAGATCGAGAAATATATATACTAGTAGTACCTGCCATAAGTTGCTGCATTCGCATCTTCTCCCTGATTAATTAGAAGTATCTTATTCTGCAAACTGATCATCAGTCGTCATCTGCAGTTTAATTATCGCATCGATCATTCGATCTACCATATTGTATGTAGTTCAGTCATGCAAAAGTCAATGCTGATCCAGCAGCATCTTGCCTTGTGGAGGCCACGGGTTGGCACGTGCTCTGAGCATGAACTCCTGTGGACATCGCATGGTTGCCTGATGCTCGCTAGAAATTAAGCAAATTAAAGACGCTAATAAACAACACACGACCTTAAAAAAAATGGTGCACGATCGATCTACGGCGCCACTGCACTAGTAGCTAGTATCGATCGATCCAGTGGCGGGCGGGCGGGTTCATCATTGATCGCGACGAGTCAGGGCCACATTCATTGGGGATTGGGCCACAGGATATGAACAATGGACATCATCAGTTGGAATTTGGAAATGGGCAAGTGATAGCTAGCTTGCATTGGCAAGGCAAAAAGAAACATGGCATACGCTACGCTTGCATCGGCAACATGATAACGACGATGGCTCCGCTAGCACCAGCAGCACTTGCAGGGTCCAAACCGATGAAGTCCTACAAGAGCAAGAGTGAACTGCTAAACTACGCCTATTTACAAAGTCCAACTTCTGTCATCATCTACACATACTTGCGATAACTGGAATGTCTTGTAATTTCGTTGCCATGGTAATGAAATTCGATTTTACCGGTGTGGGAAAAAAATCTACACATACTTGCTCTATCAGTACATACATAAGCATATGCTCATGAGCACTAATATATATATATATATATATATATATATATATATATATATATATATACACACACACGTACTGTTCTAGAGCAGGCCGTAGAATAAGTTATTCTGTGGCCACTTTGAGTTATAATAATTACTATACTAATTTACGAGATTATGGTAACTCCCTCGTAAGTGATTTACTATAGCATTATGGTAAGTATCATCTTGAATTATAGTAACCCATATATCATAAATATGTATTGTCATTATCGTAAATTGGTACAAACATTATCGTAAATCAAGGTGACCATAGAATAAGTTATTCTATGACCAGCTGCAGAATAGCCTTAATTGATAATAATGTAATTCATTTTTATATATATAAAAATGAATTACATTATTATCAATTAAGTACAATTTATTTAAAGCCTGAATAAATATATATAACCTGTAAAGCACGCTATATATAGTTCAGGTGTCCATTTCAGTATCATAACCTTTCCAATACTTGACAGCAGGAATCATCCAAAGGCACAACGCTATGAACCACTAGATTTTTTTTGGCAACATATATGTTTTTACATTTTATTTACCATTTATATAAATAGTCACATGGAACAGTTGGCATGCTTCTTATTCTTAATTAGAACGTATGGATCTAGTAATAAATAAATTAAAACAAAGTAGTGGTGAATCTTGAGACACACCATAAACGAATTGAAAGCACACTGTGCTAGATGCAAACGGACAATAACGGAAATATTCTTTCCGCAAATGTAGATAGGATTCCAAGCAAGGAGACCTATCAACACATGATTGATGGGCTCCGAGCAGCATCCGTACAATATCCACATGATGATATTGCAACCTGATGGCTACTATATGTGCAGAGTTCAATCATCCAAAATCTGTGTTTGTCACTGTGTGCCATATGCTTGTGTTTGGACGTAAATGTGCTGGAATATGCTAGGCTGGCCAATACCAGAAATATCTTTCGTTTATTGGTACGTAACGTACGTCCAAAAGTTGTCATTATTAGTGCAATATATATGTGTGGAAACAAGTTTTTGAAATCATTATGTTGGGCTGAACCATCTCGAACGTAAACAAATCAGCAAAAGTAGGAGATCCAAAATTGTCATGCTAGACGGGGTGCCAAGAAATGTGATGATTCACCCCTAGGCCCTAACCTCATCCCTAATGTGTTTGCTACCTGGGCTTGGCTTAGACAGGACAGGCAAACTTGGTGTCTCCATCGTCTCGTCCTATATTCCAACATTGCAAAACTCAAAAGGTACCACCTTGAGTGTCTGTCATCGGCATGCAGGCCTCCACTTCCCATTGTCATTCCCAGTACCGGCATACAGTTTCTTCAGCTGATTAAGTCAACTCTCAATGCGCTTTTATCATCCTGATGCCGAATCTTTCTGTTGATTCAGGAACCAAATAGTCCTGGTTTGTCAAAATCCTACTGGTCCCAGATGCTGAATTAGGTGAACATACCCTGCATTTTATCCTTGGAACACTACCATTGCAAATGCGCAACGATGACCCAAGGGCTGCCAATCACTTCTCTATGTTACATACTAAAAGTAATTGATAGCAAAAGCCATTAACCTGACCATTCCACTGAGAAAGGAGCAAAGGTTTCCACTAAACTAACCTTTTTTTTCCAGCACGGCACAGAGCAGAGACACTCAGCTTTCATCTAGTGCTCAGGTCATTGTCGTCTCTGCATGTGGAAGTGGAACAACAGGGCACCTGAATAGTGTCACCCATTTATCACTACAAATGACAGCAAAAGGCATTAAACCGAATGTTCCCAGCAAATGATCTGAAATGGGTGGGAAAAAAGTGTAAGACAAGTGTAAGATAACATTCGTTATCAGTTACACTGCACAGTTTCTGGCTTATTCCATAAGCCACACATGAAAGGACGACTTCACCTAACTCATGAAAAGTGTTCCTGTTTTCACCCATCAACTTTCTGAGCCTTTGGGTGCAAATGAAACTGGCCATGTTGGGCTGAACTTTCATGGACTGTTGATGTACTGCAAAATATGGAATCTTCAAATTCATAAATTTCAGAACACTCCACTCACTTGAGATTAATCAACAAAAAACAGGGGTTTTAGGGAACTAACTCATGAAATTACATAGATGTTAACTTTGTCACCATAAAGTTCAAATGGTTAAAATCTTCCACAGGAGAAGTAACAAAAAACTGAGAATAATACAGAACTAGCATCATAGGGGTCATGCATTTTGGTCAATGTTACAACCACATAACACCTACAGATATACACCATCCTCCGTATGGCAATCTAGAAGCTTAAAGAGCTAACAGTTTTTTAATACCCTATTATGTTCTTCAGTAAGGAAAGCTGCACAAATTTTGAAGCAAATGAGTATCTGATCTAGCTTTACTAGTTCAAAACTGTGGATGCTCCAAAATGTGTTCAGTTTCTTTTTCAGCTGGTGCATATAAGCACCGATAAAATGCTTCTACAATAGAGATGCCCTAGCGGCCTACCCTTGAAAGAAATGCGATGATGAAAACATTGCAGAAGTCTTGATTCCCTACAGCTAGTGCCCCCTAACAAGGTTAACGCAGTATTGTCCTCTAGAAAGTCAATTGTTTGAGACTAGATTCAGATAAGGGGCTGCCATCTTGGAGGAAGAGACCCCCACTGTGAGGAAGCAAGATTTGCTGTTTCTTGTCTTTTGTGACAATGTTTTGATCTGGTGAAGCTTCTTTCAGTTTCTTCACAAACTCAAAAAATTTGCAACTTGCAGAGCATACCTATATTAGCAGGAAAGACTATATTAGCACACTTTCTCCAAAATATTTGATATATGGAAATACAAAGAAAACAAACTGGGAAAATAACCCTGTCAGAAAATAAGCATTCAAAGTTAAAATTTAATTTACGTGTAGCTTATTATTAGACATCAAAGTTAAGAGTTCTCCAATGGGCCAACAACCCACAGCATGGTAATCTTTTGTATGCAAAACAGTAATATTCAAAATTTCTAAAAAAAACATTCATTGTTTTTAAGACCAGGCACAATCTCAGATAACAAGATAACAGTACAACTGTAAAGCAAACAGAAAACAGAGTTTATGATTGGAATTGGATAACTGTCAAACTTACTTTCTTTTAGCTTCAACATCCCTGCTAAAATCAATATTTGGTTCGCAATCCAGTACAAGAGCAGGAACCTAAGTTGCTTAAATAAGTCAGTTACCAAGTCTGAATAACAACTTGTTAAAACAAAGGAAACACATGATGCTTACTTTCTGGATACTAGAATGCATATGACTCCCTTCTAGATAAAATACTCTGTCTTTAATGTCAGGGTGCAAGGAGTTGTCTATGCTACATGGCAACTGGCTTGCTGACAATAGTCTGTGATTCCCATGTTCAGAAGGCAGTAACCAGCATTCATGTTTCTCATGTAAATCACGTAGATACTGCAATGTGACACTTCCTTCTTCAGCTCTACTTCGAAGCATCATTCTCTTGTGACAAGTATCAGGGGTAGCTCTAAGATAGATAAATCCATCAGGGATGAGGCCAGGAAGAGATGACAACACAGGGTCAAACCAAGAATCATAAATGCTGAGTTCCATTCCATTCAACCAATTAGCTTCACGAACAGCACGAGCAAACACCTGCAGAAGGGGGCAGACAAATAAAGTTACTCCATTTGCACATGAGAAAACATGAGACAAGTACAAAATTCAAAAACAGTCAAAGAGGCAAGGTTTATGACACTACTAAGTACTAACTCTCGAGGACGACTGGATTTTGCATCTCCATTTTGCTTGAAATTATTGGTTATATGGATAACAAAAGTACACATCACTATTGACCTCAGTGCATAATGTGTAAGTGTCGGGTTCATAAATCCGGGGTCCCTCGCGGACCGGCTTTCCAAACAAAGACTCGGCCCAGTAGACGACGTTGCAAATAACGCGCAACTCATGGGCCGGCCCAAGTACCTAAAACGACAGGCCAGAAGGGCAATCCAATCACTGACCAGAAGGCATGGCCGAGGAAGAACAGCATCCGTTTCCGACTCCGGCCCACCGCTCCGACCGGAGCGTTCACTTCGGCCTCCAGCCCACCTTTGGACGGCATCTCCGACCAGAAAGCCTGGCCAAAGCACTGCCTCCGACTCCGACACGCGTCTCCGACCGGGGATGCGTCAAACCCCTGCTTACCGCTCTTCTCCGACTGACGCGATCAGAGCTGACTGAGACCCACCGACCGGGGACGCCCGCTCAGTAAGGACCAGAAAACGGACGGAGAAAGTAAGGCAGGGTGCACAAGTCAAACCACGATACTAGGGACCGTATCCTGTACACCTGCAGAAACAGTACTCTGCAACCTCCCTGGCACAATAGAGCCCAAACAGTGTTGTAGGCGCGGACATTTTCCCTACAGTATTGTGGGCGCGATTAACTCCCATACGGTAAGGCTCCCCCCACATGTCTCTGGGCGTCGATAGTGTTGTGGGCACCGGCCTTTACCGTACCGAGTGAACATGGTGAAACTCCTCATATGTCTCTGGGCATCAACAGCATAGCGGGTACCGGCATCTACCATACCCGAACAAGACGACGCAACCTCCCACGTGCATCTGACATCCAACAGTGTTGTGGGCGCCTACCATCATCCTGTACCCGCCGGCGTGGGCAACAAGGCTTAGAAGCAAACGTACTCCTTCCCTCTCACTTGTAAGGCCATCTCCTTCATCTATAAAAGGGGATGCGCTCTCCCAACAGATTCAGGTCATTCCAGATTCATTAGATCGACCAAGCTCACTAGCACACAACAGCAGAACCATCAGGTTGAAACCACGAGCATACGCTCGAACACTTAGCTCATAGCGAAGCTCTTGTCACTCTCGGCCCTTCCGACTGGAGTCCGACCGAACCTCTTGTACCCCACATCTTTCTCCCTCTCGTTTGTAATCCCACTACAAACTTCGAGCACCTGGGCTCAGAAATAAAGTCACCGACCGACTCAAACTGGACATAGGGCACGTTGCCTGAACTAGTATAAACCATGTGTCATTGAGTGCTAGGCCACCTCCGATCACAACGTACGGCAAAACTACAAATATTTACTTGTTGATCACTTTCTGCACCAACAGTTAGCGCCGTCCGTGGGGAAGACGTTGTACGTTCAACACTTTTTTGGTCATCGGATGACCTACTTTTCCGCCACCTTCACCATAGCGGGCTCGGGCGATACGATTCGCTTCGGCTCACTGGAGTTTCCCGCACTCCCACCTGTTGGGATGTGGTTTTCACCCGTCTTCGAGCCATCCCAGGCCTTCCTCCTCGGAAGCCTGGACTTCGTCGCCGACCGGGGCTCGGCAGTCGGCGCAAACGCGAGCACGACTTGAAGGAGAGCGAGGTGGAGCTGCGGGCGCGTGCTTGCTGGCCGAGGTGGAGGAGCCACGGCGGAATTCGCCGGCGGGTGCGTGGGCGCGGCGAGAGGTAGAGTTAGGCGCTCGGCTCTGGCAGAGAGGAGAGAAGCATGAATGAATGAGCCAATGAGCGACCGGCTTTAAGCCAGCGTGTAAGCGGGCGCGAGGCGCGCGCGCAGAAGGTATGCGGCTGCACAAGCGGCGGCGACGGCCGCATATATATTACACGCTGCGAACAAGCTCACATGGCTGCATGCCTTGTGGCCAAGCCTGTGGGCAAGGCAAGGCAAGGCCTGTGGCCTGGCTGGCCAGCTAAGGCTGGCGAGGCGAGGCGCTGGGGAGGTCGGCTGGGCCGACTTCGACCGGCAAGGCGAAGTGAGGCGGCGACCCTTGAAGGAGAAAAGTCCTTTTCAAATATATTTTCAAGGAATTTTTACATGCCATCTTTCAAATATTATTTTGAGCAAGAAAATGACATCTTTTGAAAATGTACCAAAAATGAAAGTTGATTAGAATTTAATTTTCTACAACTTTGCTTTTATGACCACAACCAAATTCTTTCTAGATTTTGAATTGTAAGGTCAAAGTCCACGTTTAACTCAAAACCCTAATTTTTGAGAATTTATTTTTGAAGCCAAATTTTGAATTAATTTGAATACAAACTTTGCTCCAAAAATTGAACTAAACATTGCTAGATGATTTACAATAGTAGCCAAACATGTTTCACTAACCTAGCAAGCAAAATCGTAAGGCAAAACAACTCTTAAAAGCAGTGTATGCAACATTCAGGTTTCACACATGTTTCAAATGTTTCAAGCAAGTGTTTCAATTGTTATTTACATGATTAGGCATGTATGATTAGGATGCTTGATGATGCATGATATGTATGATTAGCGATTGTTTAAATGCGTGCATAACATAACACCGGTTCTTACACCCTCCCTTTATAAAAATGTCGTCCCGAGATTTGGGTGACGAACCATTTATTATAAAAATCTTCATAAGCTTTTTGTAGATACTCTCCTGTTTCCCAAGTTACATCTCCCTCATCATGATGATCCCACTGTATCTTGTATGTTTTCACCACACTATTCCGAGTAGCATGTTTCTTAGTGTCTAACACCCGGACTGGTTGCTCACGATACACCAAATCTGATTTGAGTTGGATACCTCGAGGTTCTATTCTTTCCTCCGGAACACGCAAACATTTCTTGAGATGTGATACATGGAAAACTGGGAAAACGGTACTCATTGTCTCAGGTAACTCTAATTTGTAGGCTACCGGACCTCTTTGTTCCAAGATCTTGTATGGTCCTACGAATCTCGCGGCAAGCTTTCTTCGAACTCCGAACCTTTTCTTCTTCATTGGCGTGACTTTCAGATAAACATAGTCACCAACTTCAAATATAAGGGGTCTCCTTCTGTCTGCATAACTTTTCTGACGTGATTGGACAGCTTTCATATTCTGCTGAATAATATGAACTTTCTTCTCGGCTTCTTCTACAAAGTCAATGCCATAATACCTTCTATCTCCAGGCTCGACCCAATTCAATGGCGTTCTACATTTTCTGCCATATAAAGCTTCGAATGGGGCCATCTTGATGCTTTCTTGATAACTATTATTATAAGAAAACTCAGCCAACGGTAACCATGACTCCCATGATCCCTTAGAAGACAATACACAGGCTCTTAACATATCCTCCAAAACAGCATTCACTCGTTCAGTCTGACCATCTATCTGAGGATGATAAGCGGTACTGCGAATCAAACTAGTTCCTAAGCCTTTGTGTAAATGTTCCCAAAAGTGAGCCGTGAACTGTGAGCCTCTATCAGATACTATGGTCTTTGGTATACCATGCAACCTCACGATTTCTGCGATATACTTCTCGGCATATTGAGGTGGTCGATACTCTGTTTTGACAGGCAAGAAATGAGCGGTCTTGGTAAGACGGTCCACAATTACCCAAATCGAATCATGTCCTTTTTGAGTAGTGGGCAAACCCGTGATAAAATCCATACTTATATCGTCCCACTTCCAACTAGGGACAGACAAGGGTTGCAACATACCGGCAGGTTTCATGTGGATGGCTTTCACTCGACAACATGTGTCACATCTGACAACATATGCTGTAATTTCTTTCTTCATTTTGTTCCACCAATAACGAGTTCTTAGTTCTTGATACATCTTACTACTTCCGGGATGGATAGAGAGCTTAGAAAGGTGAGCTTCATCCATGAGTTTATTCCTAAGCTCTCGATCCTTGGGAACCACAAGACGGTCGTCAAACCACAACACGCCCTGTTCATCCACTTTAAAGTGTTGAGACGGCTTTTCTTTTATTTTCTCTTTGATGTGGAATATGCCCTTGTCGGTTTTCTGGCCTTCTATTATCTTACTCTCCAAAGAGCAACTAATCTAAAAACTATGTAACACAGCAGGATGCATTAGATCGAACCCATCTTCAAGTAATGGCTGCACATTCAAGTAATGTGACTTTCTGCTTAAAGCATCTGCCACTACATTGGCTTTTCCAAGATGATATTGCACATTCAAGTTGTAATCCTTGATCAATTCCAACCATCTGCGCTGTCTCATGTTTAGCTCTGGTTGGGTAAAGATGTACTTAAGACTCTTGTGATCTGTGAAAATATTGCACACATTACCAAGTAGGTAATGTCTCCAAATTTTTAGGGCGTGCACAACTGCAGCAAGTTCAAGATCATGTGTTGGATAGTTGACCTCGTGCTTTCTCAATTGACGTGATGCATAAGCAATGACTCTCCTTTCTTGCATAAGAACACAGCCCAATCCAGTCTTCGATGCGTCGCAAAACACATCAAATGGTTTCTCGATATCTGGTTGTGCTAGAACAGGAGCAGTGGTCAACAGTTTCCGCAAACTGTGGAAAGCTACTTCACACTCCTCTGTCCACACAAACTTGTGATCCTTCTGTAGGAGACTCGTCATCGGTTTGGCAATCTTCGAGAAATCTGGTATAAAGCGACGGTAATAACCGGCTAATCCTAAGAAACTACTAATCTTAGGAACTGTGGTCGGCGCTTTTCAATTCATCACTTCTTCCACCTTACTTGGATCGACTGAAACTCCATTCTCTGACAGAATGTGACCAAGGAAAGAAACTTCCTTCAACTAGAATTCGCATTTGCTAAACTTAGCATACAGTTGATGATCCCTAAGTCTGGTCAAGACAATTCTCAGATGCTCTTCATGAT